TCCTGTCAAACATTCAAAACGTCTTCTATCTTCAGATTCTAAAACATCCTGTCAAACATTCAAAACGTCTTCTATCTAGAATCAGAAAACATCCTGTCAAACATTCAAAACGTCTTCTATCTAGAATCAGAAAAAGAAGACGTTTTAGAATGTTTGACAGGATGTTTTCAGATTCTAGATAGAAGACGTTTTGAATGTTTGATAGGATGTTTTCAGATTCTAGATAGAAGACGTTTAGAATGTTTGACAGGATGTTTTCAGATTCTAGATAGAAGACGTTTTGAATGTTTGACAGGATGTTTTCAGATTCTAGATAGAAGACGTTTTGAATGTTTGACAGAATGTTTTCAGATTCTAGATAGAAGCCGTTTAGAATGTTTGACAGGATGATCTAGAATCTAAAAACATCCTGTCAAACATTCAAAACGTCTTCTATCTAGAATCTAAAAACATCCTGTCAAACATTCAAAACGTCTTCTATCTAGAATCTGAAAAACATCCTGTCAAACATTCAAAACGTCTTCTATCTAGAATCTAGCTGGTATCATAAAGTTTTAATTTAGCTAGCTTGTAGAGTAGCGCATTATGCTAGGCGGAATCAAAGGCTCGCTTGACATCTAAAAATGCTTGAAAAACTGATTCTGTTAACCTAACTAGGTGGTCAGCTGTTTGTCTATTTCTTTTAGAAGCATTTTGAATGTTTGACAGGATGTTTTCAGATTCTAAATAGAAGACGTTTTGAATGTTTGACAGGATGTTTTCAGATTCTAGATAGAAGACGTTTAGAATGTTTGACAGGATGTATTACATTTACTAAAACTGTTAAAATCCTATGTGTAACATTTAACTCCAAATTATTATAGACCAACCATATTAACAATATACACAAAAAATATGAACCAGAGATTATGTTTTCTCAGAAAGATTGAAGGCTACCAAAAATGATGTAACCCAGAAACAATAGTGTACATTTATAAAGCTTATATAAGACCCCTCATTGAGTATGGCTGCATGATCCTTTGCAATATATCTAACCCTCTCTATCATAAAATCCAATCAGTACAAAATCATGCATTAAGAATAGCTTACATGTTACCCAGATACACACCTCTAGTATACCTAAACACAGTTAAGTCTATTCCACTAATCAAAGAAAGATTATCAAAACTAGCATCTAATTTTTACAAGAAATCCGTTAATCGCAACACATCAACTGAGGAATTTTCAAGATTATCAGTTACCCCAGAAACTTGGTGCACCAATATATCTCCCATGAATTTAATAAAAACCTTGTAGCACGCTGACATTGACAATGATTTAGTGTATTAACCCATATATACGTATTTTTGTTCCTTATCTCAGGCACTATCGGGATAGAATTTTGAGGCGTCCGGGTAGTGAAAGTGGGTTTTTCTCGGGGCACTCCTTTTTTCCTTCCACATCAAAATTATGAGGATTAGGATTTTCAAATCCGCACCCCAACATTGATTTTTTTTTTTTAAGTGTTAACGTTGTAGCCTCCCAAACCAGCCAAGAAGACACATTCAACTACAGCAATTCAACACATTCAATGATCGGTTCCGCCTATGTCTCATCGCCAGATTTAAAATTTACCTTGATTTCTTTATTTTATTAATTTATTAATTAATGTATTTATTTATTTATTTTCATTAAATTTAATTGTTCCCCCTTTTATTATAATTATTATTTTTTTCTCTCTCTCTCTTCACGATACATATAATCCGCGAGCGGGGTGAAGAGATAATGATTCTGAACACCCCCGATTACTTTTGATCCTTGGTCAAGTTGATTTGGCCTGGGGTTAAAAGGTTTAAATCGAAATAACTGCCACGGTAAAAAAAAAGAAAAGAAAAAGACAGAAAAGGAAAAGCCAAAAGTTTACATAGAAATGTGGGCTCGGGATTTTTAAGTGAAGAATATATCCCTTATGGAAAACAAAGAAGTATAAGTAAATAAACAAACGGGTTTCTATTCATACTACTAATGCCTGAAATGTTATCAATTTTTTGGCCACTTCTAATCTGTGTGACTAATTTCTGACTGTTGGGATAAGAACAAGTGAATTAACATCAAATATCACAAACCAAGATCGAAAGGCAGAACTCTTTTATACTATTGGACGAAGCCTTAGTAAGACATCCCACAAGTTCACTGGTTACATGCTTCAACCAATGGCTTATGTACAATTCTAAGTCCTTACGAACCAGTTGTACAGATTACTGTATCATTTGTTTGAATAGACTACCTTCTCAGAAATCCATACAGATGTGTGTATATGCTAGTTTAAGACTTAAGAACATAGGCTGCACTATGTATCCTGAAGCTGTGTAAAAGAATTAGCAGGTTTACAACCTTGCAACATCTACTCAACATGGATGGGATTAACTTTATACAGAAAGAGCATTAAAAGATTAGGAAAATATTTCTGAATAAAAGTATATTTTAAACAATTTCTAGAAAGGTAAAATTAGTAGTTGTTACAGTTTACTGTATAGTTTATTTTAGTTTAAGAATAATTGAATTTTCCTGTAGTTTTAATTTTCATTACTTTCCAAATCAGGGCAATGCTATATTCCAGTTACACTGATTTCCTGCAGGTATGAATAATACTCGCTCTAACTACAAGCTTGTCAGAGTATGTATTGCAGGTTAATATGAATTCTAACTTGACTGACTGAGGAAAAAAGACTGAACACAAGTTTAGCAGTAAAATAAAACTGTTTAATCATTCATAAAAACAACAACAGGTAATCTCAACTCAGTCAATGGCCATGTTTACAATATGAGAAGACATTCGTAATTCTCTGTAACTTTTAAGAGATGTTAACGAAAAGAAAATCTATGAGAACCTTGAAAAGATTGAAAGGACTAACCACTAGATACATATTATACAGGGTTCTCTCTCCAAGAGCGCCACGACATACATATTATACAGGTTCACTCTCCGAGAGCGCATCTGTTGCCCATGTCACTTGGGAAACAGAATATTCAGGTATATCCAAACTTCTACTCGACCGATATTACTAGAAAATACATTTGCACAAATCAAAAATTCTCTAGTCTCACCTTCCGTAGGAAAGTTCAGAACCAACAAAGCGAGAGTCACCACGCTAATGAAATCGCTAGTTCAAGAACAAGGTCACCACATTTCAAAGCCAGTTATGTGCTCCCTATTTGTACTACACTTATTAATGCTCTAAGTGTGAAAAATTATTCAAAGTTAGATGGACAATAAATCTACGCCTTTTTAAGTTAAGAGGAAATGGACCACCTGGTATATTTCACATTTAACATTTCAATTGCACCTCTGTATACATTTCTGAGTGGCTGAGCCTAGCTAAGATAACTTTGAATTTCAGAAAATTAGGTCAGTATGGCATTTCCCTTTTACAATGAATGAAACATTTAAGCCTAAAGTACTTTTATACAATTTAAGTTGTTGTTTTTTCGCACTTCATATCGTCTGTTGAGCGATGAAATAAAGGAGCACACTTTTGCAAACATATAAATTCCTCAAATATTGTGAAACATAAAAAAAAATATCAAACACTTTTAAATATAATACAAGCAATATCCCTTACTTTAAACTGACAGTAGTAACATAAATACTACACGACACTAAAAAAAAGTGAGAGGCCTAGTCCTAACTAGTGCATTATGAGAATGGTGGGAGAGGTAGGCTAACCAATAAAACATTAAGGAATGATGACTCCCTTATTGGCCCTAGCATTGTATTATTCACTCTGGATGTCATTGCCATGTACCCCTCTATTCCCATAGAAGACGGAATAAACGCGGTTATAAATCTTCTGAAATATATTTTTTCTTCACTTGACTTTAAGTTTGATGATAATATTTACAAACAAAGAGTGTCGCTATGCTGTTGCTCTCTCTGTAATTTTTATGCACGTCTTCGAAAGCTCTACAGTTTTGAAGTGTGTATTGGAAACAGGACAAAAAACCTGATAGATGGTATCGTAACATTGATGACATTTTTAGCATTTGGAATCACATTAAATATTTCTTATAATTTCTTCATTTCCTTGACAACTTACATCCTACTATTAATTTTACTGTTTTGTACACTGGGGATTCTTTCAATGCTTTAGCGTTCCTTAATACCATATCTCTGTTGAAAATATCAAATTTGTTATTAAAATATATCAAAAACCGTATGTTAAACCATTAATTTTGCATTTCAACTCACACCATTCACCTACTACTAAATGCAGTATAATTAATGGACAACTTAAAAGAATTGAAAAAATCTGCAACTCAAACGACAGTAAAACAACCGCTTGGTTGAACTTGAGAAAACTTCTTCGTTGTAATGGTTATACTGATAACTATATTTCAGAATTTTTTAAAGGTTTCTTCCAAAATCAATTCAATAAATCTCACAGACTGAAAATGTCATCTGGACTCTACTCTTTGTCGATGAACCCCTCAATAAACGTCTAGGCAAAGCTCTAAAAAATCTGGGTAAAATACCCGTATTGTACAAAACCCGGGGATTACACTAAAAAGATTACATGTTCGTTTAGCTTTCAATAAAAAGGTAATTGTAAATCAAAAAATGTGTCTTGCTAGAAACAATGGACTAGATGACTCTTGTACAGTGTAGTATGTTGAGGTAAAACCGATTTTCCGACAAATATCAGATAGGTAATCCCGCTAATTACAACAGGTTCAGTCAAGAAATAAGGGGTACTCTGTCTTTGATACCTTGACTGAATTTATTTAAGTGTGAAATAATAATGAAACAAAATAATTATAACAAATCAATATCAACGACATGGAACTAACTAACTGAAAAGTTCTTAAAATTCCTGTATCACTAAAGCAGGTAGAAAACATGATATGCCTGCATATCACTACAGCAATCCCATTCGACCACATGGGTTGTATTGTGCCTTTTATTTGCTTAAACGAGGTTTTGGGACCCGGCTTCCCACAGAGGAGACATTGTTACAATAGAAATTGCACTAATCGGCAATAGTGCATAATCACGGCCATTAATCTAAGCACGATCAGTGATAGAAGAAGTAGTTCGAAGAGCAGCATATGACCTGAAACATCGTTATAATAAAGCGCAACTGGCCCTCGTTATTGAGCTTATGAGTTTCAAGACTGAGAGATATTTATTGTGGCCAAAACTTATAAAAAAATTTTTTACTACGTACAGGGTGGGTCTTATTCTGAAACACGTCTTGCTTTAGAAGTTAATTTTGAGAATAAGTAAAAAAGAACTGACCTTAATACGTGGTGCAGCTGCCTTGTGAATGACAACTATGTCACCTATTATTGAAAAGCACATATATATATATATTAAGAATGTTGTTTTTAGCGCAAAGCTACGCGATGGGCTATCTGCACTCTGTACACAACGGATAATAGAACCCTAGATTTTAGCACTGTAAGTTAAGAAACTTACCTCTGACCAACCAGGGAATTCGTACTGTTGTACTAATAACGAGTGTTATCAAGTTTTCTTTATTACCCCACCTAAGTCTATATATTCTATAAGAAATATTTAAGAGTGGTGAAATGTGTACCAAAGATATTTTCCAGATTTGAAGACTTTTTTTATCCAACAATCTTTCAGCCACGTTGCACTTTTTACCAAGTTATGAGCCTTAAACAACTTGAGTGTAGTTTTTTTCCTTTTAACATAAGCATAAAAACTTTAATTAGAGTAATAATATCATTTCTTTGATTTTTTCGATAAAATGTGAAAGGAGATAAGCAAAGTTGTTATATTTGGAACATTTATGCGATGATTTCTGACTAAACCAGAGCGAGCATAGGTCCATCTAAGCTACCGGACAGCTGATAATTAAAACGAGATCATTAAAGGTTTGAGTTTTGAACATTAATTTTTTCCCTTTCCATATTTATAGATTATATATACTTATTTATTTATTTGCCTTTAAGGTTCTCCCTACCGAACGTTATTGTCAAGTGCTATTCTTAAGCTTCAAGAAGGTGGCATTTTACAAATGCTGAAACAAAGATGGTGGAAAAATGAAGAAAAATATTGTGTCATGGAAGAAACCAGTCATTCAGTTTCAGCTAGTGAATTAGGATTGGACAATGTAGGTGGTGTATTTTTAGTTCTGTCCACTGGTTTATGTGTGGCGTGTTTAATCGTTATCCTGGAATTCACCTGGAAATTACGAACAATCCCCATTGAAGAAAGGGTAAGTCATTTATCGCTGAACCCAGCAGCTATCAAAATATTCAACTTTTATAGTCTATGGAAAATGGTCAATAACAGAGTTAGGGAGTATGGAATTATCCATAAACCAATAAATTAGAATGTAGTTATAAGATAAAGTCTAGTGCTTAAGCAGTAGTGACGTAAAAATCAAGACAAAAAAGTTTTGATTCCTACCTGTTTTAGTTCTACTTGCAGAAATTTAATTTTTCACCCAAGAAAAGATTTAAGACTATTTCAATTTATCTATTTTGTTTACGGTCGGTAAAATGATTTATGAATCCTCAAATGACTTTGATTAATATATATATATATATATACACTGAGTGGTCACAAGTAAATAGACACCTAATTTTCGTCATTTAACTCTGATTTATGCTAACTAATTTGTGTTCACAGAGCACTATATAAATGAAAATGGTCCGCACACTAATTATCTTGTGCTACAACATGCCTAGAACTCATGCTTCTCTCGAATTG